AAACAGCTTTATTCATGGTACTTATAAGAATAAAATAATGTCAGAAGTATGTGTACCATACCTATGCATGCCAAAAGTTTACTTGCATGATAATAATTCGAAAATGACATACACATAGATAAATGCACCTAGTTATTCAAAATCAGTGTAAGGGGCCTGGGAACGACTGCGTTGCCTTGACAACAAAATTAGAAGTATTTTCCCATGCGTCTCATCATGTACTATCTGTATGCAAAATGTCATGTGATTTGAGCCAATAATAACTGAGCTATGCTTCAGTTTACTATTCATTAAACATACTTACCCTACCAATGACGTCACACGTTGTGCTGAAGCAGCAATTTATATTTTGCACATTTTTGCGTATAACTTCGAAACCAGATGAGATAGAATAGAGCAGTAAACGGCCAATCGGCTTATTTTTTCATGCTCTTTCAGATAAAGCAATAAATTTTTTTATTGCCATTACCCTTTAAGTTATACCTCTAAACTTGGTGTCTGCTTATTCTTGTGTCGTAAAGATGCTTGTTGCTGGAAAAGACAAATATATGTTGTAGTGTAACAACAGACGAATGATGATGATACGGATAATCCGTCTGTACTAGAGTATAAATAAGGCCAAACAACTTGTTATCATTGAACATACCGATTCACGTTTCACAATATCAGAGACGACAGCAGTGGCGTCTGTAAAATCTGGATGATTAGTATTGATATACGCAAGCTCAATCTTTACCAAGTTTTCAACCTGATTAGAATAAAATAGATCGTTAACGCTATTCAGATATCAGAATTATACATGCAACACGCATATCAGAATTATACATGCAACATCTCTTCAAGGCAAAGCCAGCGGTACTTACCATATCATTTGTTGGTTTCAGTCTCTTGAAAAGAACATCAGAAACAACTTCAACTATCCTGTTATGCAGGGCAGGAAATCTTTGAATTTCTAACACCTGTACGAAGAATAAAGTTTGAAATTATATTTCATTGTATTTAAAAGAAAAGACAAGGTTCTGGAGACGACAAAGTTTTTCACATTAAAAGTCAAATATTTTTCCATTTAGGCAAGCGTTGTCAATTGAACTTACGTGAGCGAAGGCATGCTGAATAATCCGTTGCATTTCTTCATGAACAAGTTCCACGCACCGTAATCCTGGATCTTCGAGGCGACGAATTTGTCGCTTGACTAGAAGTTCGAAAGAAATTTCCGGTACAAATAAAGCTGGTCGTGGACCCTGAAGAAGAGAAAAACAACGTGTTAGAGAAGACTCGATAGTTCATCTTGACAGGGGCGTAGCCAGTCCCAAACAAGTGGGGGGGGGGGGGAGTCTAATAATCGAATACACAGTACAACTAGCGGGTCCAGCTGTCCGGGGGCATGGCCCCCCTGGAAAATATTTCTATAGTATAGGGTCTGCGAAATGGTATCGAGGTTACACATGACTTACCGTTGCATTTCTTATTGCAGTTAGAATATCCCGAGTAGATAGTCCGCCTAAAGCATCCATATTCTCCAAGGTCTTGCCAAATATATCATGAAATATATAACAGATCCTCGCGCCACCACACCTAGGTAATAAAACCAGTGAATAAACGCCTGTTCATATCATATTACTCGAACAAATGTTGAAGATGGTAATTTTGAATGTCACAC